ATATTATATTATTATGACCTTATAGTGTTGCAAGCCTTGGAAAACTTTTCCTAAAAGTAAAACTGAAACTCACCACCTTGGCACTTGTATATGACACCAGTGTTGCATGTGCTGTAAATTGCTTATTAATTAAAACAAACATTCAGTGTACGTGAAACGCTTATTAAAACACAAACATTCATGTACTGAACTGTTTCACGGGCGGGTACACATATTTATGTAGTGTGTCACAGCCTCTCCGGTTCGTGTTGTCATTGCCATGGGCAAGGATCGAGTTTCCTCCAACAGCTGTGGCACAGGCTTGTCAATGACACGCTGCTGGACCTCGACGACGGGCCCTAGCTGCGGGAAAACTGGAAAGAATTGAATTATTAATTCTGTACCTGAGAGAAAGGTTTCAACTTCAAGGTGTGTGTTTCTGTTAGGTATTCATATCATGCAAATGGAATTAGCATGCCTGCCGCCGTGACAATTTAAAGTGAGAGAGAGAATTTCAGAAGTAAATTTAATTCGACACTACTGGTCCTTCTACTTCTTCTCTGTGGGTGGTTGAAGGGCGCTGCTACTGGTAGGTCCTACTTCTTAGAACTATCCTTCTGTTGTTTCTGTGTGTCTGTCTTACTTAACCGCAGCACTAAATCAACATTATTGTGTTGATAGGATAAGATGCATGATCGTTATATTGTCCAGGTCCTGGCACATTGGTTTGGTGTTTCGCCCTTCCCACAGACAGACTTTAACGTTAAGTAAAAAGGTCAAAAGCTACACCTTCAGCCCGTGGGAGGAGCCCTGAGGTGAACAAGTGAACAACAAATTCCACAGTATTTTTAAAATGCCCAGATTGGGCCCCACGAAAACCTTCGGGGCTCTCCAGAAGAAACAATTTTAAAGTTGTTTTGACCAGAATGCGGGTGCGTGACATTATGCCTCTCTGACACAAGAGTACCTCCGACAGGAAGTGGAAAGACCATTTTGTATTGGTTGCGATACTGTCGATTTTGCGGTTTGGCACATCCTGAGAGAATCTCTGGATTTTGGAGACACCCAAAGGGGACATTTAAAAAGTACTAATTTGAAGAATTTGTCCCCCATCGATGATTCCAGCAGGGTTGTCGATTTTATAAAAACCATTGGTCTTTTCTCAAAGGTGTAGATAATATATTATTTTTAAAATGTAAATGATTGTTTGTAATATGAATTTTTAAAATATTTTTTTTTTAACCAAGAATTTTAAAGTTCAACTTTGAAGTAAATCCATGTCGTGCTGTGAACTAACGGGAAAATGACCAACTTGTGTCCCGTGCTCTTATATGACCTTATGTAGTTGCCAGTGTCGTAAAACTTTTACCAAACTAAACATCTTTCACTAACTCAATCTCTCACTCACTTTATGTGTTACTCTTCCCCACTCCATCCCACCCTCTCTCTCTCTCTCTCT